TAGGCCTCAATTTCAGTGGCTTTTTCAGGGTTAAAATTGTGTGCTTAAGGGCTCCCTGGATCAAAGCCAGCGTATTCTACCTTGCACAGTGCAATTCCTGAAAGCCTTGTCTTCCCATGAGCCCATCCCTCCACTTGAGAGTTATCAGCTTCTCAGAGCTGTTCAGGATGTATGCTGTTTTCTGGTACCTTGCAGTTTGCTGCAACAAGGTGAAAAGGAGCTTGTGTGAATTCTGTTCCCATATTTCACTTCTCCACTGTGAGCCTTTCTGTAGCATAGCCCAGCACATCTGGCCACTTCTCATAGCCCTAGAGAATGCGTGTCAGTTTAACACTCAAGTCTCTTCTTTGCTTTGCTAGCCAAAGTGCTGAGCTCCACAAACAGATCTGAAGGGATGGTTGATGCAAAGAGCAAATTGCACGTAATGGGAAGGAAGGAAAGAAAGAAAAATCTGCCCAAGGAAGTGATGGAGTCACCTTAGAATCATAGAATCATAGAATCACCAAGGTTGGAAAAGACCTAAAAGATCACCCAGTCCAACCGTTCACCTATTCCCAATAGCTCCCTACCTTCCCTGGGGGTGTTCAAGAACCGTGGAGATGTGGCACTGAGGGATGTGGGCATGGTGGGGTGGGCTGGGGTTGGGCCTGGGGATCCTGGAAGTCTTTTCCAACCTGAATGATTCGATGGATCTGTGAAAAGCCAGAGAAGGTTTTTAGTCAACAGGTTTGCTCTCACTGAAGTACGAGCAATTAGCATTGTGGGCAAACACATTTATTTGATAGATGACAATTGCAATGATTTAATGGATACTTACATTATGTTCCTCTCAGTGTATCTGGAGAGGAGGCTAAAGAATGTGGATTAGGTAGTGAATCAGGCTGGATGACTTTATTAGGCAAGGCTTCTGAAATGAAAAATCTGACAATAAGCAATGAAGCTGGATGGTTCAGTCATCTGGCATTGCCTTCTTTGCAAGTAAGAGAGCCCAATCTGCCCAGCCAAAGCTCTCTGTGAGCAGAAAGTGAACGTTTTTCAACCCTTCCCTTACAGTTTCTCCCAAGTGAAGGACCTACCAGAAGCCTCTCTTGGAAAAGTTAAGGAGACACTAATTAAAAGTATACTGTATGTCCCTGATGAGGGACTGTTGACAAAGAAGAGCTAACTCCACGAGTCACTGGAGCAGCTCCTTACAAAGATGCAAGATGTAGCACATCTGGTCTGGAAATCACCTTCATTCCTGAAAGACCACCGCTTCCCTCCAAGAGACACAACAGAGGGCACCAAGAGGAACAGTGAGCCTCCATTTCCTCAGGTTAAGAGGGGTGGGACAAGGAAAGCTTTTCCTGTGCTAAAGAGACCGGGGTTTACAGGGCTGCTGCAGCAGAGAGGGGCAGTGTATCCACTGCTCTCTTTGCCCAGGGCATGTTGGCTTTTCATACAGGTTTTGATTGCACCCTTCATTAAAAGAGTCATTCCACCCTCCAAATTAGGTGGAATTCAGCACTGAAAGAATCCAGCCCGAGTCCCAGTTTATTTCTCCATAAAACATCTGTATTGTTCTTCCAGGATGGCTCTGCCAAATGAGTCCTCAATAAACCCAAAACCTGGCAATAGACAAAACGCTCCAAAGCGCCTTTTTAATATGGAAAAGTATCCTGCAGTGTCGCAATCTTCCAGTGGAGACCACCCCCTACCCCTGAGAAATGCAGCATAGCACCAGGCCCACAATTTGCCTGGGGTCGAGCAACAGAGCTGGGCCTTATGCTGGTTTACTCCATCCAGAGGGTCTGCCCTATAGTTTCCTGTTTCTTTTTTTCTCATATTCTTTTCCTAAAGGTCCTTAACGTCTTTCTCCTTATTTTTTTTTTCCTGCGGATGGAGGCTTTGCGAGTTTCTTTTATTGTTAGCTCATTTGGCAGGAGCAGCCGAGCAACAAAAGTGTTTTATTTGGAAATAGTTGAGGGGGAAGTCGGCAGTGTCCGAGCTGCACGCTGATTGCGTGAGCTCTGGGAGGTTTTCACCTCTGCTTCTAGGCTGGGATTATCTCATTTGATTTCATTGGATCTGTGCGCGGCGACAAAGTGGGGGAAACGAAAGGTTGGTGAAGCTTGCCTTTGTGTCACAGTAGAAGCTTTTAGTTATTTGAGTGCTAAGTGTTCTCTCTCCCTCCCCTCTCTGTGGACTGAATATCAAGCAAAATTCTACTTAGCTGATTTGAATCAATGAGTGGAATGTGACTTACACAGCTTATTTTCCAACACAGAGGTGATCCTAAGAAGCACGGGGAGATGCCTGTATTAGCTATGGGGGAAAAACGTACCGTGTGCGAGGCACTGATGGCTGAATCTCCTCCCTTTGTGCATCACACTCGCAAATGCTCACTCTTTTATGGCCAGCAAAAATACATGCTATCATTTTGATCTGCAGCACTGCCTATGCCTGTTGATTTCTTTCCAAATCCATAAGACCCCCTTCACAAGGCTCCACTCATCAGAGATTAAAGGCTCCACTCAGCAAAGACTCAAAATAAACCAGGAACAGCACTCGCTAATGCTGGCACATCTTTTCCCTTTTTTTTCCCCCTTTCTTTGAGACCCAGTCAGTGCCGTGCCGAGGTTTGTCTGTCCTGAAGTCCATCTGTCCTGCTGTGCAAGGTGAGGCCAAACCAAAATAGCTCAGGGCCAGATTTCTAAGAATTCAGCACCTCCTGATGAGGGCCAAGTCAGTAAATCAAGAGTGATCTTCATGTGGCAAGGGGGGCATCGGCGTGTCTGTCTTCACAAGGCATGTTTGATGGCTCAGCCGAGGCCAAGGAGGCCCTCAGTACCAGCACCAAGATCAGAGGCACTGTGGCCTGGAAGCAGGTTTTATAGAATTACGGAATCACAGCATGGCCTGGGTTGCAAAGGAGCACAGTGCTCATCAGCTCCAACCCCTGCTGTGTGCAGGTCGCCAACCAGCAGCCCAGGCTGCCCAGAGCCACATCCAGCCTGGCCTTGAATGCCTGCAGGGATGGGGCATCCACAGCCTCCTTGGGCAACCTGTGCCAGTGCCTCACCACCCTCTGGCTGAAAAACTTCCTCCTCATATCCAACCCAAACCTCCCCTGTCTCACTTTAAAACCATTCCCCTTGTCCTGTCACCATCCACCCTCACACACAGCCGTTCCCCTCCTATTTATCCTCTCCCTTCAAGCACTGGAAGACCATGAGGTCTCCCCACAGCCTTCTAATTTCCAAGCTAAACAATCCCAGTTCCCTCAACCTTTCCTCATAGGAGAGCTGCTCCAGCCCTCTGCTCATCTTAGTGGCCCTCCTCTGGACCTGCTTCAAGAACTCCATGCCTTTTACTGTCCATAAGACCATCTAGTTTTCAGCCCTTCATTTTCCTCCTGGCCAGGTGTGTTGAGGCTGTCAGAGCTCGGTGCAGACAACATCTTCTTGCAGCATCTCCATGGAATATGGAGCACCTGTGTGCTGGGCTCTGAAGGAACCAATCCTGGCCCCAATAGCTTCTCCTGGGCTTGGAGCATGGAGCACTGTTGCACCTTCGAAGCTTCCCCAGCCACCACCTGAAAATAGTTTCCTACTTCACTGGGGACTCAGTAGAGTTAATTAATCAATGCTTTTAAGTCAACATGATGATAGAAAGAGCTGTTTACCAGATAAATACTACTAGCACCCCGTGGTCGTTTGCAATTCAAATGTACTATTCCCTGCAGGGAATGACTCCTGTCATTGCTATGTGTCACTGAGCTGATTAGAGGGCTGTCAAGTGCTTTCCACCACCAAAAAAAAAACAGACTTGACACCAGACGAAGCACTTTCCCAATTAGTTGTTGGGTTCTCCGCAGCCAGTCCCCAGATCACAAGTCAGGCCTCCAGAATGCCAGGAGTCTTTTAAAAATCATGGGATGGTTTTATTCTGCAAATGCTACTTTTAGCCCTTAGCATGTGTTCAGGCCACCTCCTGAGGCTTTTTTTTTTTCTTTAGGACCATAAGGACGGCAGACTTTTTTCTTAAAGTGGTATTGCCAGATAGAGCAGCACATCAGGAGCTTGGGTTTTGCATAACACCAGGGAAGATTCACAGGAAAATCACAGGAGTTGGCAGCAGAGAGCTTTTCCTTCGGAACGGGCTGGCACGGCTCGACGTGCAGATGTTCCAAAGAGCAGCTCCTTCGCTGGTGCAACTCCAGCTTCACCAGTGCCAGGGGATGGATGCGAATTGAGAGCTGCTGTGGATCTGCCACCCTCAGGTTTCAAGGAGCACGAAGCTGGTTTGGTGCCTCAGTCGAGATACGTGCCAGCTAGTGAGCATCCCTGGGAGCTGCTCTCTGTGTGATGGGCAGAAGGGAAGCTGAACGCCTTCCTCCCTGCTCTTCATCACTTTGGGGGTGCTGGTGCACAGTGAAAAGCCCCAAGGCTTCTGTTCAGTGTAAGTATCCAAGGAAGGAGGGAAAGATTTCAGCACGGAAAACTTGTGCCTTTCCACCAGCTTTTGCATCCGAACCAGCACAGCTTGTGTCTGCTCTACTGAGTCAGGCACTCAGGGCACCTGGAAAGGAAAGCTGGCTTTAGAGACAAAGGTCCCGCCTTGCTTTTAGGAGGGAACATTGGGAGCCTGGGGCTTCTTCTATTTTGGGGACAGGGTGGCTTCTGTGCTGCAAAGACTGCCTTCTGCATCTCCCCTGCTGAAATCTCACATCACAGCTCTTCCCAGGGTCAGCCTGACAGCATCCATCCCATCGGCACACAGAAAGTACGGCTTTTGGAGAGGGGAACATAATTTTAAAGTTGGCCTGAGAAACCTCCATCTAGTTTTCAGGGTTCCAGAATGTTGTTTTATTAGGATTACAGTCTTGTTCTTCTTAGGTTTCAGCAGGCGTTTATGACTGTTACAACAGGAATGAAAAGCTGGGGCTGGAATCGGCACTGCTTTCTCCTGCCAGGCGCAGGGTTCACGGTAGAGGCCAGACATATGTCTTTCTCCCACAGATGCTACTTTTTTTTCTGGATGAGGAGGTGAGCTCGAGCCTCTCCCTGGAAGAGAGGGCTGGCAGCAGCGCTGAGCTGGGATGTGGAGGCTGCACAGGGGCCCATTGGCTGAAGGTAATTGCTGTGTTGGTTCACGTTGTTCCCCTCTGTCCTTTGCAAAAAGGAGAGACCAATGGACTTGTTTGTGTCTGGCACTGGAGGTTTGTGTTGCTCTCCTTTCTCCCATGCCCCATGGACATCCTTCTAGGTTGGCAGAGGGGCTCGGTGAAGGACAAGTAGGCCCTGCCTACAGACTTCCCTCCCCTTTTTGTCTCGTTTTCCTTTCCTTTTTTTTTCTTTTATTTTCTTTCTTTTTTTTTTTTTCTTTTTTTTTTTCCAGCATGCATTATTCCAGACCTGATGTCATTCACCTATCTGAGTTTGTCCCCATGCAGGTCAAGACTTCTCCTTGAGGGCACCTGAACCGGAGTTACGTTCCCTATCTTTGCAGAACCCATGCTGTCTGCCTCTGGGAGGCAGCAAGTGGAAGGTAAGGGCTGGAGCAGCTCTCACGTGGGACACCACAAGTCCCCTGCTGTCCTTTAGGTCTTGGCGGCTTGGGGAGCTCAACCCCTTTTGTGTTCCCCAAAGAAGGAGTTCAGCCTACCCAAACCATCCTGCGTGCAGTGAAGAACTCAGCCCTCCTCTAGGGTGATCCCTGGCTGTGGGACAGTTGGACCCTCTGCACAGTAATAATTAGCAGACAAATCCTGCTGACTCGGGAAACTCATCTAAGGGTTTGTTTGTGTGTTTGTTGTTTTTATGAGAAGGTCCATATGCCTTTCAGATTTTGTTATTTTCAGAGTTGATGATCTGAGGAACAGAATGAAGAGCTGACATTGTTGGTTGTTTTCTTGGCCTGCTTTATACAGCAGATGTATGTTGGTAGAAGGGCTACAGCTCATTACTTTATTTATTCTGGTGGAGTTTTGTTGAAAAGACAATAGGTCAGATCATGACACAGGAAGCAAAAAGATAGCTTTGGAACTGGTGGGTACTGTTCATCTACCAGTGCTCCCTTCACACGCTGGTCAGAATCCAAGAGGTAATATGGGAATTTCTGAATGTACTTAAAGTTTATGAGACTGCCTGCCTGAATGCATGCATGTGTGTGGAGTGGAACAAGGATCCCCAGCATAATACTTAATCAAAATCCAGTTTTACCAGTGATATAAGACAGATAAAGCACTAAGTACAGTCCTCAGGATCTGCCCCTTCAGCTTATGCACTGCACGTGGCATACACGAAACCTGCCAATACACATGGTGTGGGATTTACCCTGAAACCCTGAAGGTGTCCTGGATTTTCCAAGTCAGAGCCTTGTTTTAAATCTTGCCTGGTGATGTGTGTATTTGATGGTCTCAGGAGCAGTTCTAGCTCAGTGCTGGTTTCTTTCTAGGGTATGAAAATTCTCTTTAACATACAGTGCCTTTTGAATCTGATTCTTACTTGGAAATGTGTGCTTGCTCACGTTATTTAAGAAATGGGCAATGGAGTTTGAGCCACAACTTTATCAGCAGACAGCACAGATATCTGAGTGTTTGCTGCACCGTGCGCCTTCTTTCAGCACTCTCTTCCTGCTGAATAGCCAACATCTAGTGGGGTTTTATCAGGTTTTTGAGATGAGGACTCTCTCCCTTTTGCTAGCTGAGATCCCCATAAATAAGAACAAGCAACCTCATTTTCTAACTCTGTTCCTAACGTGATCAAGGTGTAGCCTCGGAGTTCTGGTGCTTCTCTTGGGGTGCTGTTTGTGAACTCCTCTACCCTGATCCACAGAAATCCTTATTCCCTCCTTCCTCCCAGCCATAGTGCCAGCGCTGAGCTTTCGTTCCCTCCCCCCTTCTGCTGTCACCGTATTGATCCTCGAGGTGACCCCTCCAAGTCGTAGATCCTCCTGACTCCCCAAGGCAGCCTGCTGAGCTGGCCTTTGCCCAGTTGTTTCTTCTGTTCCCTCTGCACCTTTTCACCAGTTTTCCACTCGTTGCATTGATCTCAAATATGAATGGGCAGGGAAGACTTCAGGAGGAAGCAGTCACTAGTGCCCTACACAGCGATAATGACATCTGATGAACCTATTTCTGTCTGAATCCTGAGTAGTAGGCTGTTCCCCTTTTCCTGGTGTTGATGGTGTCTTTTAACTCTGCACCTCAGCAAATATGGTTAGAAATGCTCCTACATTTTGCAGCAGTGCTGGCAGAGGCAGTGTTAAATGCAGTCATTCCATGGCTGATGTTGAGAATTCCTCCAGTAACCTCCCTTCAGATCAGTTCTTCTGTCAGTACAACTTGCTATCATCTCCATTTTAGCCAATTTATCATCCCCCTTACAACACTTGTCTTATCTTCTCCAGTTTAACTAGTAGTTCTGTGTGCCAATATCAGTGATATGAAATGATATCTGGGTAGAGTAGCCTGGCACAAATGCTTGTCATTGCCAATCCCAGATCCAAAGTTTGTCCCTGATGTCACATTATCCCACAGCTTTCTTTATCCTTCACCCAGTATTTCATCTGAAGTTTTGCATAATATTGACACTGGTGATGTCACCCTGTGTGTGATCAAGTCCAGTCATGCTGAACTCAGGAGTCCCTTCCAACTTGGGGTATTCTATGATTCTACAATTTTCTCCTTAAATAAAGGCACTGCATCCTTTTTTCTCTAACGCATCAGTTTCAGTACAATCGATCCTAGTATCTGATTTGCAATTCCATGTGTTCCTTCTTGCACTGTTCACAGCTGGATTGACGTTACTTCCTCCCAGCTCAACCACATTCAACATTTCAGTTTGTTGCGGTCAGTTTCTGTATTTCTCCTTGAACTGCACACAGTCTGTGCCGTACCAAACGCAGCTACAATGGATCTTTACCTTTATATGCACACAGTTTTTCACTTCTTTCCTGACTACAAATACAACGGGGTTTTCTGCAGCCAGGTGGAACTCTCCGCTGCGTCCACATTGGCAAAGAGAGGAGCTGAATCCAGGGCAACCCTTCTGACATGAAGGTGAGCCTGTATATATGTACATACAGGCTACCTGCTATTTTCTTCTTCTCTTATTCTATTATTCTTCTTCTCTTATTATTTTCTTATTTTCTTCTTCTGGAATGGATGCCCAGGGAGGTGGTGAAATCACCGACCCTGGGGGTGTTCAAGGAAAGGCTGGATGTTGTGTTGAGGGACATGGTTTAGTAGGAGCTATTGGGAATAGGTGAACGGTTGGACTGGGTGATCTTTTAGGTCTTTTCCAACCTTGGTGATTCTACGATTCTATGATTCTATGATTCTTGGGGATGCTTTTGCAAAACGAGGGGAAGGTTTGTTCTTCAGCTGCAGCCTTCTTTGCTGGTATTTTTTACGCCCTTGTTGCAAAGAAGTAAGACACAGAACTTTTAAAACGGCAGGGCTCAGAGACTGTTGGAGCAACGCTTGGCCCCCAGTCCTCCTTCTCTGAAACAGGTGAGTCATTCTGGCTGATATTAAAAAGAAAACAATAAAACTCTTTCCCACACACAAAGCAGCCCTGAGGCACACGATTAGCAGGAGGTATTTCACTCCTGTGGCTGGAGTAGGGCAGCACCTTCAGCAACTGAAGCCACACTCTTACAATAGGAAGTATTTAATCATCTTTGTAACAGAATGTAGTGCTATCTGTACTTTGAGCAAAGCTTTTGTTATGCTAAATGTTATTCACTGGCTTTGTTCTCAGAATATATGTAAGTGTTGGCAGGACCAGCGACCCATGTAACTGTAATGCAGTGGGTTGCTGTAAAACAAATGAGAGCAATGTAAGGTTTAGTTCAGGCAGTCTCAGTGAAGGTAGCACTGGTGAATCTGGTAGCTGGAGCTATGGGTCCTGTGTAGGACAAACTCCACACCTGTCATTTTCCATTAGGAAATCTGCTGGAGAAAAATAGTCTTAAAAACATCTGGGTTGTTTTTCCCTATTTATTCCATTTTTTAAGAACTTTTTTAGCACTTTTTTTTTTTTTTTTGCTTGATCGCAGAAGAAACGAGAGGAGTGAGTTCCTAAATGCATTGATTTCTATGTTGTTGGGGTTTTATTTGATTGTTTTGTTTTGTTTTGTTACTTTCTTAGAGCTAAAACTTGAAAATGTTACTTTCAAAAGTGGAAATGTGAAACCTGAAAACAAGTTAGCTAGTTAAAAAGTGGGAGTCCTTTCAGAAGGGAAATAGGCTTTCTCATACATCCATGAAAGGGGAGTTGGATTAGATGACCTCTGAAGCTCCCTTCCAACTCTACAGGTTCTGTGCTTCTACGTTTTAAAAATCACTCCTTCCAGAGGAGGACTCACCTTTCTTAAATGAGAAAAAGGAGCACTGCCAACAGTTCCCATAGTAAGATGTCCAAAATTTTATTTATCCATAAAGCCTTTCCTCTGGAATTAAAAAATCCCATTTGGCAGGAAAAAAAGAAAAAAAACCAACACCCCAAAATGACTTTCAGGTAAAATTGTTGCCTTCAATAAGTCCCAGATTTGCAGTGAAGAAACTTCAAAGTTTGCTTGCTTTTACCATTCAAAGTGTAAAATACTGCTTTGCACAATTGAGGGTGGCAGAAGTTGACCTTAAAATTTGCTCGAATCTCTGGCCACACGACATTTCCTTCTGGGCTATTTAAACACGCAGCTGAAACACAAAAGCAGAAGGGTGTTGGTTTTTTTCTGACCTCGGAGAAACGTGAGTGAAACGTGAATGGTGACAGGGAGTGATTTTATAGGAGGTGCTGAACCTGCTTAATCTGTCTTTTGTTCAGATTTTAACGGGCTGCGTGATGTTTTATTTATGTGTTGGCCTGTTACTCTCTAGCATTGTTCCATGGCAAAGCATCGGGACTGAGAGGGGTTGGGGTGACCTAAGATGGACCAGAGATGTCCTTTGGCAGTACTGTGGTCCCTCAAGTTCTGTGCTGTGAGAGTGGTGAGGTGCTGGAACAGCTGCCCAGAGAGGCTGTGATGCCCCGTCCATCCCTGGAGGTGTTGAAGGCCAGGTTGGATGGGGCCCTGGGCAGCCTGGGCTGCTGTGAAATGTGGAGGTTGGTGGCCCTGCATGGCACAGGGGGGTTGGAGCTTCGTGATCCTTGAGGTCCTTCCAACCCGGGCCGTTCTGTGTTTCTCTCCCAACAACATGGCTGCTAGAGCCCACATGAATGGGGAATACCTCCATTCTGGGCCCAGAGCCTCGTGGGTAAAGATGAGTGTCCATCCTGCATATCCCATTTGTACGCTCAATGGCGTCTTAAGCAGTGGCAACTGAGGTAGTGATAGGCGAAAGACACCTGCTTTAAATAAATACAGTAATCTGCCCAAAGCTCCCTGAATGCACTGGTGTTCAGTGAGGGCCCTGAACCTGCAGACATACCTATGCTTAACAACATAATCATTAAAGAACAGAAACCTTTCCTTCTAATCCCCCTCATACAGAACAACATGTGGATGTTAGCATATTTGGACTGCTTTGCATTCCTTCTTGCCTGCTTCTGAGAACATACTACATTTTAAAACTTGTTGGGTTCTTTCATGTTTTATTTGACCCTATGTAATTGCATTCCTGAAGGAATAACAGGCTCCCACAGTGATTTATACCCTGTATTAAATGTCAGTTTTGAAGAGACACAGTTAGCAGTTTGGTTTAACCTCCTGCCTTCCGATGTAAGTTCAAAACCGAAGCGGAGCTCAGGATCCAAGGGGAAAAGCACAAAGATGAAAATGGACTCAGAGGTGGCGCAGAATGAGATGTCTGTGTTCGAAGCCCCTCACCTTCAGAAGGCACCAGAATGAGATTTCGTCAAGCCAGCCCTATTTTTAACCATAGTTTGTGTCCCGTGCTGCCGCCCTGCCAGCTGTGCTGGCTGTAAATGAGCGCTGCACGATGCTCTGCTTTCTCCAGAGCCTCCAACAATGGGCCAGAGCACTTTCTGCTGCAAAACCCACCCAGCGGCCCAACAACCAACCCCCAGCAGCTTTGGCATGCGTCCCCATAGGAAGGTCAGCGAAATAAATTGTCCTTGTGATTAAGAGCTGCTCCTTTGTTTTTATGCGTGTAACCATGCCTAAATAGCGAAGCAGGATACGTATGTTATTGCTGCTTTAAATATTTCATTCCCTTTGTAGATTTCCTTATGACAGACTTAACAACTGCTGAATCGTACGTTATGACCTAATTATGGGGGATTCGGCTAAATGAATCTTGATGTGATGGCATATTCTTGATGTAATGGTGTTTTTATGTGCGTGTGTGCGTTTAAATGCAGAAGTAAATGCAGCAGCCTGTGTTGGGATCTGACACTGCTGAAGCGGTCGTCTTTTTTAGAACCAGGAGTGAAACGCACGATGGGGAGTTCTTTAAGCATCAGTACTGTGCCTACAGACCTATTTCCCATGCTCAGGAAATGTATGTCCTGATGATCACTTTCCTTACCCTGCAACTCCAGTATTTCATCTCACAGGCAGGAGATTTAGCTGGAGCTGTTCCAAGGAGGATTCAGTTCTCACACTGAAAGTGATAGATTTGATCCATCTGACTCATTTTTTCCCTAAAATATCTTAAGCAAATATATTCAAATGAATGCAAAGATTATGTGGGATCTACCCAGGTCGTTGTTCTGACCTCAGCACATGACTCATTTTTCAGCTGAAGTCATTCAGGGTGTTTCCATTGCCTTCTACAGAGCCTCACTTGTCCGTCAGGTGAATGATGAGAACAGAACTGATAGTCTTCTTTTATTTGAAGTGAAAAATGGAGGTGATAATGCTTTCATGGGGTTGGGTTTATCTCAGCAAAGCCGTGGAATAAGTTGCCCTCTGGAAGTGGATGTCACTGCTGACTCTTTGGGGAGCTAATATGACGAGCGTAGAGCTGATGCTTGTCTTTCAGATGGATAGAGTTAGGTAAGATGAATCCTACCTGGTGTTGTATACACAGTATTGTGTATCAGCTTCCCCTGTCTTCTAGATGTGCTGCCAGATTGCTGTAAATGCTCGTGCTGTGGTGTGAGACACTCTGGGTTAGTGTCTTCCCCAGCCAAATCCACCAAGAAGAAAAGAGTTCTGTGGTAATCTGAGCATGTAGGTTTAAAGGGTGCAGTTAATGTCTCAGGAATATGGCGTGAGGTTTGCCTTCCGTAGCTTCAGATGGCACAACAGCAGGTATCCATCTCTGCAATTGTCACACTTCGTCACTGCAGGGAATAGTCCTGTTTAATGCCACTCTTCCTGACAATACTGCCAGTTCAAAGTCAAAGGAGCAAGTCTTAGGCTTGAAGGCATAGCTGCACAGCCTCGAGAGCTGGTTCCTCTGCATCCAGTAGGTTCACCTACCATAGCTGTCCTGCTTCAGGACCAGGAATTTGATGGTTGGACTACATGAGCTCAGTGGTCTTTTCCAGCCATCATGATTCTGCTGTTCCACGAATACTCTGTCCTAAACTGGTAAGCATTGCCTCCCTGGTCTTTGTGTAGTTATTTATGCCGCTGGCTGGGACTGCAGGTTCCATGGGCAGAGCATTATCCATTCACACATCAGTGAGAGTTCTGCTCTTTCTTACAGAGTGGGAAAATGTGAAGATGGACCCGAATTAAGGCCCTTATTCAGTGGAGCTCTGGTTTAAACAGACCCACGTCCAGGCACGCTGTGGTGTGGCTGTTTGGTTGTTAGGGGACATGAAGAAGTAATGCCCCAGGGTGCAGCCCCATTGGCCTCCCTGGTAGCTCTGATTCAGAAACAAAGAATCTTCAGCAAGTGCAAGGAAGGAAATATCAGTTCCTGATCAGCATCAAGGTATCAGTGTTACTTTATTTAACCACACCTGGCTCTTCAGCCAGCACTTGATCTCTCTGATTAGAGAACTGAGCGAGGAGTGTCTCCTGGATTTCTCAGGTATTTTAGAAAATATTATTAATATTTTCCAGCCACTCAAGACACCAAAAGCTAAAACAGCACCAGCAGAGGGAGACAAACCCTGTTATCAGACCAGGACCTGTAGGAATCGGTGCTTCTTTGTAGGAACCTGAACTGGAAACCTGAAGGAGGAACACTTGTGGTGAGATGTTGTGTGCCATTAAAGTCTGCATCTGCTGAACAGCATGAAATAACGATACAAGAAGTTCTCTTAAATATATTTGTATCTATATCCTGGTACCATACTATATGTTTCCTTGGCCAGAAAAAATGTTTCTCTTACTTTTGGTGCATTGCATGTGTGTGTGCACACATGACTTTTCAGCGAAAGCAGTGCAGTTATGTTAACGTTATTTCAGATGAGAAATCAGAGCATTGAAACAAGATTTACCCAGATATCCTTGAATTCTGCTGATATTTTTCCTTCTCGTTGATGGAAATCTGTCACCAGCCTTTAAAAAAGTAAACATTTAGGCTGGAACGCATCAAAATGGCGTTTCCTGGTGAATGGGACAGTTGTTGTGGTTCTCCTCAAGTAAGAAACCAACCGTGGGTAAGGTAGTTTTAATGTCACTTGAAAAGAAATTGCAATCTGGGCAAGAAAACTGAAATCATGGCTTACTGGAGGATATATGGAGCAGATTAGTTTCACCACGGAATGGTTATATTTGTGTTTTCTTCACTGGTTAGATAAATGGGGTTTTTGTTCCTCTGGCTGTGTATCTACCAGGATGATTGTCTGGAACCATCAAGCATGTGGAGAAACGTCCCGTTGTTTTTATTGAATATCGCTTGTGTTGTTGAGAAGCCAAATGGCTTTTATAGCAAAGGGCTGCCTGCAATGGCAGGAAGTTGTGATATGTTTTTTAAAAGCCATTCCATTGTCCTTTGCACTGGGGGTGAACTGGTTGGACTGGCACATGCTGTGGGGCTGAGTCCCCCATGCTGGGAGGAGAGGAACCCTGTCTGACAAGGTTGGCTTCAGCGCACGCTCTGTGAGTGTTGTATTTCCATGGGTTTCCTGTAGAACTCTTGTTGTAAGCAGTGCATGGGTGTGATGTATGAGCCCAGGGATCTGAAAGGGCCTTGGTCAGGCACAGCTGATGCTGACAGGCATCACTTCCAGACGGGACTGCCTGTGTGGGAGTCCTGCATCTCTTATCTGGAGAAAAGCCTCCTCGTAGATGCAGAAATGTCATCTTACAGCACGAACTACGAGAGGAAAACATGCAGGGGGTAGGTATGTAAAAATGATTCTTTAATTAATTGTCTAGATAGAAATAACTGTGGATGCCTTCAAATACATTGCTGCTACAGATAAAACCAAGAGTAAGAATCTTTGGGAGTGCTCAAGAAGGATTTTTTCTTCCTGTGCTGTGGGTAATTGTGATGACGTTGACTGGTGCAAATACATCCTAGCAGGAGACCTTGGGAGATCATCCATCCCCCCTGCCCCAAGGTCTGAACCATTCCTGGCAAACCTTTGTCTCAGCAGTGACAGGGTCTGCAGCTCCCTGACTAATTTACTCCAGTGCTCACCTGTCCTTCCTCTTAGGAAACTTGTCTAATGCTTGACCTAATTCCTCCTTGCTGCAATTTAAACCCATTATTTCTTGTGTTATACCCAGTGGACACGGAGAACAATTTATTACCTTCCTATCTGCAACAACCTTTTACATAGTTGAAGGCTGTTATCATGTCTCCCCCTCAGTCTTTTCTTCTCTAGACTAAACAAACCCAATTCTTTCAATCTTTCCTCATAGGTCATGTTTTTTAGACCCCTGATCATTTTTGTTATGGAAATAAACATCCTTTAAATCAAGTTCTGTGAATCAATCTTGTGTAGAAAGGAAGGGAAACAGAGAGGTTAGCGTTAGCATTGGGAACAGGAATCTGGTGGTGAAAGAAGTGAATTTTCGGAGGTCTGTTCAGAGTACAGCCATCCATTCTTCTTTGGGATTTGGAAATATATCGAACACATTTTCTTTCCCTAAGTTTCCTTGGGAAAATCCACATATCTGCCATCAGAGGGAAGACAACACATCATTTCCACACACTATGTGGAAAGCAGCCTGTGGAAAAGCATTGGGAAGGATAGCAGAGTGAGGGAATGTTGAGTAGTATTGTATGTCCATCACACAGACTTTCTAAAATCCGCTTGCCTGCAGTGATATCAACGTTTGCTCTCCAAAAGTTGTGTAGGCTGTCCCCCAGGGCAGTTTAAAACTGGATGATCACTCTTGCTTCTTCAGAAAGTTTCCTCTTATTGTGGCGTCCCATGGGCTGAGTCTTTGGCTCTGAAGAATTAAGGAGCTACAGAGACTATTGCTGTTAATGTGAAGACTGGGGGCTGTGAAAGGATCCATAAAAAGTTTCCTGTGCTTATGCTCCTCTTTGTCCTCCAAAGTAGCGTGGGCTGGGCTGAAGCTATTTTGTGTCTTTTTCTAGATCCTGGCTTGTGGAGGACTAATGCTTCCAGGCAAGCAAAGCCTGCAGCATCCTTTTGTTCTTGGTGAATTCATTGGGCAATGCATTGACTCAGCCTTTTACTCAAAGGTAAGTGTGAAGCTGTGGTAAATCCAGATTAAGATCAAAGACAATGCAGCCATATGATGTGAAGCACTCAAATATTTATTTATTTATTTATTTATTCTGAAGGCTTTATGCTGGGTTTAGATGTCATCTGTCTTTCTTTCCTTGGCCTGTATAAATAGCCAAGCCAGCAGGAGCATCAGACTTGGTGCTCTGGCTAATTTGAGTTGTGGGTGCTAACATCTCATCAAGATTCCTTGGTAGTGGACATGAAAGCATAGCCTCATTGTTCAGCCTGCAGAACAATGAACCTATGAGCGTGGGGCAGCATAGAATGTATAGAGAGAGCTGGAGGGCCAAAAGCATCTTAAAGTGGAGTGCAATGGTGGACTTTGAGAAAGAAGTTTAGGAGGATATGTTAAAAGAAAAAGAAATGGAGAAGGACAAGTCTTGGTCCTTGCACGGGAGATGCTATGAAGGCACGAGGTGGGATGTCAGCTGGCATGTGGTGTCCATGAATGTGAAGTGCTCAGTAGAAACTGGAAGTTCACAGGCAGAACTGTATGGAAAGGCCTTTTCTGCAAGGAGTCTTCCCAAATGTTCTCTCATCAGAGACAACATTGATTTGACCTGTCAGAGCTGTTAAATTTGAGGCCCTATCTGTGGGTTGAGAGTTCCAAAATTCTTTAGCAAAGGTCCAAAATAAACAAGGTGTGGCAAAGAAAAAAATGCTTTTTGCTCCTTGCAGATGACTGGGAATGATCTTTCTTTTTTTGTCTGGTCTGGTGGTGAAGGCTCCCTTATCTTCCAACAGCCACCCTTCAGAGGATCATGAGTGCTTCCTCTAAGCAAAGTAGAGGAGGCCAGAGACCATATTTTGTCTGCAGCGAGACACAGTTGCTCATGAGATGCCAGTGAACACATACATTGCAAAAAGGAGTTTTGCTGTGATGAGTTTGGTCATCATGATGGAGCTGTTTTGTAGCAATAGCCAAGAAAAGGCTCTTGTTTTAGATATTCTTGTTTGTACAACTAAGAAACTCCACTTCCTGCAGCTGGTAGCAAATGGTACTGCAACAGAATCACTGCTAGATCAGATTCACCTTTCATAAAGACAGGCTCAGTGTTAGATACAACACCGAGAGCTGTACTTCTGAGGTGGTTTCCATGGAATTTCTCCCATACTGACCCTAAAACCTCAAATGCTTTAATATGTGCTTAGGGCCCTGTAAGACACAGGGCCATCATTAATTAGCAAACACCCTGAGCACATGTTTAATTTTAAGTGTGTACTTTTCTCTCTCAGGGGTCCATAGGACTTAAGGGCTTGAAGTGAACGGGTTTAGGGATATGCTCAAAGATAAGCGTGTGTTTAGTTGCTTTCCTGTTCTGTGGCTTTATTTGTTTTTACAGGAATAAGAGAAATGAAAGATCTTATTACAGATCAAACACAAATAAATGTCCAAAACGCAGCGGGGAGGCTTTGGTCTTGGTTCAGGGCCCAGTGAAGTCAATGGAAAAACACCCCAACACCTCAGTGGACATCAGAGCAAAGTCCTCAGAGGACTGGTGATGAACCCACTGCAGAAACTTGTTGAATGCCTCGTGTTTCTTTGCAAGGTTTCCTTATCTTGTACCCAGATGTTATTAACAAGGGTTTTTATTAGCTGCTGAGAAGCACTAGAGCAGCAGTTTTTCAACTCTTTAAATACATGCATACAAAGATGGGGGAGAAATAGTTTGCACAGTGATTATGCTGTGTTGAACTGCGAGTATATTTCAAGTTTCCCATTCCTTACCAGTGGAACCATTACTGGATCCCACTGATCTTAAAGTGTTTGCTCTCTTCCTTTCATGGAGTGCAGTGAGGCAAGTGAGACAGTTCCTAGGGTGAACGCAGTCTCTTTGTAGAGGGAAAAGTTTATACAACAGGAACAGCAGGTTCCTTTGAATAGCATTCATCTTTTTTGCCTTTAGATCTTTAAGTGTAGACAGCAGCACCTGAGTTACTCATTTAGCTTCCCTTTTTAGGCATGCAGGGAAATAGCCACCTTTCAAGAGCAATTTGATGTATTTTCAATGTTCATTTCAGGACATGAGGTTGCTGTAGATTTCTCCATTTGATCAGCTGGAGTTGCACCCGAATTTTGATCCCGTGGCTCTGGTTGAAGCTCTCTTTACTTCTACAGACACTGTGCCTATACCAGCAGAGCCACCTGAGCCATCGGCCATCACCCAGCAGGGAAGGGATCCCGGGCAGCTTGTCAGGCATGTCGTGGTGGTCCTGTGTGTGTTCTGCCTCCCAAGAGGAAGAAATTTGGGTTGCAGTACCAGAGCTGTGGGACGAGCTTCACTCAAGCCAGCAAGCAGTGCCCACCTAGTCCCTGGAGAGCTGGTAAGCAGTTAGCACTTGCTAAGCGGATATTGCTTCATCTTCTGTTATTACTTGTGTTTCCTAGGTCAAACTGACACCAACTGGTCTGCTAGAGCCACATCAGAGAACCTATCCAGAGTCTCTGAAGAGCTGCTAAACTGTAAGGATGTGCAAAACCCATATTCCTATGACTGCCAGTTTGCTAGGGCAAACTGACACTGATCTGCAGAGAGGAGCTGTGGGCACACCTCTGTTTTGATTTGGAGGAATATTCTCTATCACTCCAGGCCTTAATTCCTCATCAATGATGAACTTGTGGTGGAATCCACTGACTGTAGCTCTGTGATTTGGTGTGGTGGAAAAGCACAGGCCCCAAGGCACGCTGGAATTGTCATGTTCTGCTATAAGAACCAAAGATACAAAAGTGATATTATTGGCAGCTTAGCTGACTGGGTGAGCCCTACAAAATTCCTTTGATGTTTTAGTCTTATTTGATAGGAATAGGGCCAGATTAAAAAAACTCCAGTCTTCCAAATCCTAAAATGCAAAAACAAAGCGTTGGACCCTTTCATTTCCTTCACAGTTCAGAGTCTGCAAGGAAAATGATTTGAAGCATTTCCTTCTTCTAACACCAAAACAGAGCCTGGCTTTTACATAAAGAGAAAACTGTTTCTGTTGAGTGCTGAGAGCTGTGCTTTTCTATCACACCGTTTCACAGAACAAGAAGATACAAATCAACGGGGAAGTGTGAAGTCGCAGTACTATAATTTCTGTATCTGCTTTTCCTATGATTATGATAGGACACATCTCTTACTTGCCCCTATAAGATTTATTTTTTTCTCCCCAGCCCTTTTCTTATATTTCTGTAGTCCCCTGAATGTAATCTGCTGCCCTGAGTCATATTAAAAAAAATCACATTGAGTTGAAAGGAAAACGTTTGGTTCTTCAATGTGTGGAAAAATATTTCTGTTGTTTAAATGCAAGTAATTAAACTGAGGACTTTCTCCAAAGTAAACCTTGACAATCTAACAACCATCTTTGGCTTTTGCGCCGCATGGAGTTTCTTTTACATTTTTAAATGCATTCCTTGTTTCAGTAAATGACACCAGGCTCACCAGCAGTGACTGAGTGATTAGTTTATCATCCTCTTAGTGCAGCCATCTAGATCTTTAACTCTTTAAGCAGTGGCATTTAAGACTTGAGAACACCCAGAAACACGCCTGAGGCTTTAGGCATTCTCAATTCAAGCAAATCTTGGATATCAGGTGAAAACGAATAAAAGAAAGTAGATGGGCGTACTCTGATAACGCTTTAAACAAGTCAGGTAAGCTAAATTGCAAATAAACAGCAGGCTTTTTAAAGAGGAAGCCAATTCCCCTTTCCTGGGACCACTCGGGTCATCAGGTGTCTGAGCAGCATAAAATTACATGGAGAAAAATCTCCCGACCTACAAAGGGAGCAAAGGATGACAGTGCATTTCCCAAGGCTGTGGGGCAGGGCTTTTCTCTGGATTTACTGCTCATTTCTTACGGTGCAGTCAAAACAACCATTTTACAACAGTTCTGGCTGTAACAAGTGTGTGTGAGCTGAAACATACTGCACTGATGCCCTGTGCCGTAATCATGTCCATGCAGAGCTGCACGATGCCTGGCAGCAACAAGAGAAGGAAGAAGGAAGGGCCTCTTGTTACTTCAGGAACAAGGAAGGTGGGGATGGACGTTCAGACAGAGGGAAAGGACTGACCTGTGGGCTGCTGACCAGCTGTGCCTGCTGCTGAGCATCGTGGATCTGCACCTATCATCCGATCCTGCTCAGTAACGCGAGCCACATCACCATGTGTGCCCTCTGCCAGGGGAGACTCGGAGCTGCTCGCCCCGTGAAGGCCAAGAGCTCTGGGATCTCTGTAGCTGGTAGAGCCAGGACTGTGGGAATGCAGCACCGAGCCCAGAGCTCAGCTTTTAGCTATTTATTTTGTTTTAAAAAATGCTTTTGTAGTTTCGTCCGCTGCCTGTGGTCGGTTGTTTTGTTTTGTTTTCTTTTGTTTTGTTTTGTTTGCAGGCTGGACTTGGAGTTTTGCTGTTTGGGGAGAAAGGAGTTTTTGCCCAGCAGGGCAGAATGAGCCTGTGTGGATGCTGCTCAGTGAGATAAATTCTCTGCATCCTGAAGAATGTTGAGTGCATTGAGAGCTACCTCTGAAAGAGCAGAGCTGTCTCCTGCAAGCACAGACCAGATAGGTCTCCAGTTTTCTGGTGACCCTTCTGTTGCCTGCAGGCTGCAGCCATTCTCAACACCGTAAATACCTTCAGACATCCGCTTCAAGCATGCTTCCCTACCAAAAGCTGTGATGAAGGTGATCCAGTCATGCCTTCTGTTTCATGGTTCCTCCTCTGGGGTTGTCTCATTTTGGGCTCTTGGTGGCTTACCAACAGGGGAACCTCTGAAAAAAGAAGTCACTGCTGTTTTGTGATTTGGATCCGTATTTGGATCCGCTGTCCCTGACTCAAGTCAAGACTCAGTGGCTCTAAACTCTCTTCACTTCTTCATTCTATCCTCCGCTCTCCAACCATGTGTCTTAATCCACTTAATTTCCTCCTTGGAGTCCCTCAAGTCCCAAACCCACTCGGCCCCAAGTGTCCTTGCCATGCTCAGCCTGGTCTGAAGTGGAAGCAGCAGAACCCCCCGCCCTGCTTTGCCTCTGCGCCTCCTCAGGGACGAGCACAGAGGGTGGGAAGAGGCAGCAACCAGCAGGGCAGAGGTGGGACGAGCAGGAATGTGGGGTGAGACCAAAGAGATCCTCAGGGAAGTTGCTGCAGCTGCCTTGTCCTGCTTTTTGTGACTCAAAGTGCTACACCAGTGTGCCCAGCTGGCTGCTGCTGTGAAGCATGAGTGTCACACTGAGAGTGGGCACAACGCAAATGGAAAATGCTGCTTTAAACTCTTATCTTAAGCCATCTGTTCAACACCCGAGCTCGAAGCCTGCATCCTTCCAGGTCTGTGATGCCATGCACCTGCCGGCTGCATCGCTCACAGTTGTCTTTGCAGAGCAGCACAAACCTGTTGTGACACCTTGGTGCCTTTGGCTTCGCTCCCATTTTCTAGAATTGCACTTGGCCTTTCTTTGGCCCTCTGCCCAGCCTGAATTTGCCTTCTTGGTTTTCACTTATTTCCCATATCACTTTTCTCTCCTGCTTCTCCTCAGGGATCTGGCTGCAAACCCTTGTGCCCAGGTGGGTGTGCAGCACCTCCCACCCAGGGTCCCTTCATTTATAACAGAGAGATGTGGGATGTTTGCAGTTTTTCTTCCTTCTTCAAACTGAATTCTAGATAGTTCTCCTAAATGTCTTTCTTCTCTCTTTTCCTGGAACAGACCCTCGGTTTTCTTTCTCTGTGAGCTGTATTTTTAAAATAAAACAAGTAGACCCTGCAAATGGCCCTGATTAAGAAGCCTGGTTTGCCTGTGGGATCAGACAGGCACGGTACACACGTACAGCAATGGTTTGCCCATATCATTTGGGTTAGGTATCAGAGAGCACAGACTGCCTTTGCACTGAAGTCCGCAGGTCAAGGAGTTGGCCTCGCTTCGGTCCGTAGGCTGCCAGCCCATAAGCTAAAGCCCATCTCTGAAAGATGCTGGAAACCCACCTCAGACAACAATGTGTTTAGTTCTTCCTTTCCAGGCATGTTCGTTTTTGCTTCTTTCTTACAGGGAAGATTTTGCTTCCGTCTCCCAGCAATGTTTCCCTTCTGCTCTTCTTCTCAAGCCAGTGCGACAAAAGGAGAGCCAGCCCTGGTTGTTCTCCAAGAGCTGAGTGGTGAGGATGTCCCTCTGTGATGTGTGGGGCAATGCATACCCTGGTAGCAGCAAACCTGTTGTTTCATGGGCCGTAAACAAGATCTTATACAGCAATCTTGTATGATGTAGCTCTCCCAGTATTCTCACGGGGACTGAAATGCTGTGAGAGCCTTCTGTGTGCTGGGTTGTGGCACTGGGTGGCACTGATCTATCGGGTGGCAAGCAGCCCACAGCAGGAGGGATGGAACTGGATGATCTTTAAGGTCCCTTCCAACCTGAGCCATGCAGTGACTCTACGTCTTGTTCAGAACTGACGTGTGGTTTTGCTTCATTTCTGAGGATGGTTCAAAGTGCTCTCCTTCCCAGATGGAGACTCTGCCATGCCTTTAATTCTAATCTTCTCCTTTCCTATTTTTTTTTTAATCACCCTTCACGGTTAAGCATATAATTAACCAGTTGGATAAAGTAGGTTTGTGGTGTCACAGAGTCACAAAGCTGAAGCTAGAGCTTCTGAAGTCCAAATCAACTCCTTCATCATCAGACCTGCCTTCCTGCAGGCACGCCAGCACTTGCAGCGTGGCCCAGAACCTCTCGCCTTTGAACTTCCCAGCTTTAGGCTGCTGACTCAGTGTCTGTGCGTGATGGAAGCAGTGAAGGGGGAAACAGGTAATTGCTTAGGGAGGAAAAAGCCAAAAATGAAACCGTGCCTTGCTGCCGTTGACACAAGCTCTGCTCTTGCTCAGGTGCCTTTGGGTAATAGATTTTTGGGAGAGAATGTGGTGGGCTTTGATTCTGCTTACAGGTGTTGTCTCAGAACCGAAGAAGACAGAGCAGGTAACAGTAAGTAAGAACACTTCTACCTTGAGAATAAACCCAGAGAACACCTCACTCCTTAGCTCACTTCATCAGTAATAAAACGGTCCTGTTGCATTGCAGTGAAGTAGGTCCTGCTAGAAAGTTATTGTCAGGAAGGACTGGAAGTACTTGTAGTTCCTTCCTTCCCATCTGCCTGTTTCAGAAGGACTAAACTTGTAGGGTACTTGGAGTGAACTGCGTTGACCTGACAAATGTGTTGCACTAACATGGATTGCTTTGCACTAGAGTAAGCTTGAGTGAAGACCTTACTGCACTGAGCATGATTTAGCCAAGTGTGATGGATTTGTGTTTACGTGTTCGTGTGTGTTTATAACCACATGCATGACTATAAACGTACATGGGATATTGAGATGAAGTAGGACAGAACTAACAAAGCCAATATAACCTGCAGCCTCATTTAGATGGCCATGGAGAGGCAGCCTTTCTTCCTGAAGTGATTTTTCTCATCACATGTCTGTGGGAAGCTGATGCTCTCATACACATTCGCTACAAAAGCGTATTTGATGAGTACTTTCTATGAATGACCCTTGATCTGCTCATGGTAAGCACTTAGTCACCAGGCAGGTGGTGCAAATGAGCCCCACCAGCCTCCTGTGGCTGGAGATGGAAGCCACAAGCCGTGCCCGTGTTCTCCACCTCCAGGCAGATGGGAATCCCTACAAGGATTTCTCTTCTCTAATTTCAGGAGAGGACGTTCACAGCCATGAGTCTGAAATTCATAGGTGTGCTGACATTTCCAGGCACTTAGGATAATGCTCACTGCTAAACTCCTCTGCTGCTGCTGAAAGCCAAGTAGAACGTGTTTAGAGCAAACTCATCTAGCAAATTCAAGCATGTCCTCCTAGAATTATTTTTGCAGCAGTTGTCCTGCTCTGCTTATTTATGCCTTGTGCTAGCATTTGAAATCATTAAAGCCATAATTAATTAATCATTAATATCAGTGCTGGAGACTCTGAAGTGGTGTGGATGCTGAGGGAGATGCCAGCACTGTGGTGTTCTCAAAATGTATTTGTGGCTCAACCAGTCTGAAATCAGCCTTCTTCTCTTATGGCCTTACAGTGTTCCTTAGGAAAACGATGGTTTTGTGGATGCTCATCTCTGGAGGTGATCAAGGCCAGGTTGGGAGGCCCTGGGCAGCCTCATCTGGTGTCTGTGTAGTTTATGGCAACCCTTCCATGTAGTATGGGGGCTGGAACTGGATGGTCTTTGGTGGTGATGGGTTGGCAGCTGGACCTCAAAGATCACCTTAGAAGTCTTTTCCAGCCTTAATGATTGTATGATCCTGCGAATACATCCCTCACCTTCTGGAGGTCCCTCTTGCATCTCAAGGATGAGGCTTTGATTGAATGGGAAGCAAATGTAGGCTAAAAGCAATGATTATTTCCAGAACGTGCATGAGAATATGGATTTTCCTCTTGTAACAGTGATCAATCAGCGTACAAACGATTTTACAACACATGGCTTCAGTCACAGATTCACATTGTTGGGGTTGGAAGGGGCCCTTAAAGGTCGTCATGTTCAACTCCTCTGCAGTGCACAGGGACACCCACAGCTCCATCAGTGCTCAGTGCCCCATCCAGCCTGCCCTTGGGTGTCTGCAGGGATGGGGCATCCACTGCCTCTCCAAGCAACCTGTGCTGGAGTTGTTTGTAGCACAGGTCAGGAGACTTTCCATAACAAACCACTAGAATGGCTTTAGCTTTATTTTGTGACTTGTATTGCTGGAGCACTTCCCCAGGACCCAGGCCTCCTAGTTTCCATGCACTGCCCAAGAATCTCAGAAGGGACAGCACTGAACTGAAGGGGCCTTGCGTTGTAACTGGAGCAGATGGACAACGTGTGCACAAAAAGGAAGGGGTGAAATTCCCAGGTTTGCTCAGTCTGAATGTTCTCCCTGCATGGCATGGTCGTCCTTTTTGTAGACTTTGCAAAACGATAAAAATCAGCCTTAAAACTTAAGAATAGAGGAAAGTAGAGCTGGAGTGAGCTCCAAGCTGGGCCTGATCCTGCGTTCCACGAGAGGTCTGGCTTTCTGTTCTCAAGAAAAGGCAGGAAGCACTGGTGGGACAGGCCAGCTCTGAAGCGTTCAGAGCAATAACAAAAATTTCAGTGTGGCAATAAAAGCTGTTCCCTTCACCACTGCAGCAGCTGTGCTTGTTTCCATCGGCTGCATTCAGGCTCTTCAGCGAGGAGCTGCTTTGGAAAATGTAATCCCTCGGAGTTGTTTGTTCAGTGTCTTTGCTTTAATGGACCAGCTTAGGCAGTTGAAAGGAGGGGGTAGGAGGGAGTCATTCTCAGCACACTTATGGGCATCCCCTCCTGTAATTCATGTCATTACAACTTCTCTGATGTATAACTTTATTTACTTATTTACAGCTTTAGGCTTGTTTCTGCTCTAGCACAAATCTGGTGAGACAAGGGTGGGTTTTTTTTGGGGGGGGGGGGTTGATTTTTTCTTTCTTTTCCCAAGGCAGGTTGTTTGCAAACTCTGGAGCCCAAAAGGTGCAGCTGCTCTAAGAATAAAAAAAAACAGGATATAAGAACTGGTTTGGGGAGGTCTCTCTCTGCCCAAGTCCAGAGGCATCTCCCAAAGTGCAGCCATGAGTGGAGAAGTTTGTCTTGTAAACAGAACTGGCCTAATTTCTAGAGGTGCTGAATGCTGGAAATGAGGAACCATTTCTTCTCTGAAAGAGCAGTGCTGCAGTGGCTGCCCATGGAGTGGTGGGGTCAGCATCCCTGCAGGTGTCCCAGGTGTGGCACTGAGGGAGGTGGGCAGTGGGCACGGTGGGCTGCGTGGGGCTGGGGATCGCAGAGGCTTTTTCAACCTGAATGGTTCTGTGATTCTGTCACGCACGGTGCCTGCTGGTAAGGCCTGAGCACGCGAAACCTGGAAGCAGAGCAGATGTTAGCAGCTGGGATTGTATCAGGAATACTTCTAGGCTGCTCTGTGATCATAGGGTTGAAATGAGAACAATAACTGCAAGCAGAGCTGGGCACCAGGGATCCAGGACCTGCCAGTTCCTGGGCTTCTCACCACCACCAGCAAACATGAGCTGAGGTCTACATGCACAACTCACCTTTGTCCTCTGGCTATTCTTTGCAAGGTGACATTCCCAGCGAACCACAGAATCATTCAGGTTGGAGAAGGCCTTTAAGATCCCCACCCCACCGTGTGGATGGAGTGCCACATCTCCATGGCTCTGGAACACCTTCAGGACGGTGACCCCACCACTCCTGGACAGCCGTGCCACGGCAGCACCTCTCTTTTAGAAGAAATGCTTCCTAAGACCCGACCTAAAATACCTGACGAAGTGGTTCTTAGCTCAGAGATGAGCAGTGTTGCTTCCAATCCTGGGAGGTTTTCACAGAGGTAGGATTGCCCCAGTACAGCTGGGGCCAGATCACAGGGAAGAACCTGAGCCGCTCTCCCCACCACCACGAGATGTGATGCGTGGTGAGGTGTGTCTCACATGGAGCACAGACATAACGTTCTCTATTTTTGATTTGCTGGATCTTTAAAACATACAATGTTGTATCTGCCGCTGAATTAAGCAGTGTTTGCTTTTCAAACCTTCCACATTTGTATTTTTAGCTCCATTTTGGCATTCACTTTTTTTGGTTGGAATATATAACACACTCAGTTATTTAGCGTGCCTGGACCGAGTTCAGCCTGTGTGTAACTCCACGGGCTGGAGCAGAAGCTACGTTCAAGGTGAATTACTCTCTATGGGGCTAAGGAAATACAGCTTCTGTAGAAACGCATTTCAGCTCCCTCAGTAAATGCTACACTATTTCCATCCATGGTTATTCCGCTGTGGTTTGGGTTATGTATTTACATTTTACGGAATAAATACTACAGCTTTCCCCATGACTAACACTTCTTAGTAACCAATAAGCTACTCAAATACACCACTGCCTCCTACAAGAGCCTAAACCACAGTGCTCTCCACGGGCTTGCTGTCCCCAGCTGGCCACCTCCTAGTGCAGAGCCATGGTTAACCAGCATTACATAAGTCACTTTTTGGATCCCTCTTATCATAGCATCCTAGAATGGCCTGGGTTGCAAAGGAGCACAGTGCTCATCCAGTTCCAACCCCCTGCTGTGTGCAGGGTCACCAACCAGCAGCCCAGAGCCACATCCAGCCTGGCCCTGAATGCACCCATAGCCTCCTTGGGCAAAGGACATGGGACAGCTTCGTCGTGGAGGCGCTGGATGCTGTGGGACTGAATTCCTCATCGATAAACATTGCCAGCACCTCTGATCCTACCAAAATCTGAATGAGGTCCTTAGGGAAGGAGTGACACCTGAGTGCTGCTCCCACACAGAGGCATGGGTTGCTCTGCCGAACCCAGAAGTCTGTTTTAAGAGCAGTGCCATACAGGCCCTTGCACAAACTTTGTTTTTAGGTGGGGATATTTTCAATGAAAATGTTATTTAACTTTAAAAAGTTGCACAGCAGCTACTCCAAAAATTGTTTTCCCTTGTTAAGAATAACACACAGCGTGATACATTAGAAATGGCGATGGCAATATTTCACAAATTGTGATGGATTCATAGCCCAAATACCTTGCTAACAGATGTTTCTTTTAAACTCGGAGTGGTATAGGAATAACTCAGAGATATTACAGTGTCAGCACTGCCTTTTATCTGCGTGCGCCCTTTCGGTGACATCCCCAGGCTTTTGTAATGCGTGGGTCAGGCCTGAGCTAGAAAAAGTGAAATATTAAAGGAAGTCGTGCCTGGTTGTGTGAGCTATGGGGCAGTGTCAGGAAGGTGATGAGTGCTGCCCCAGTCCTGCCGTGTGCTTGGGCACGGCAGTTTGGTGCTTTGGGGGAACATGTAGGGTTGTGCACACAGTTCGTCTATGAGCTGAGCCTTCAGTTGCACCAGGGGAGGTTCAGCTTGGATACTAGGAAACATGTCTTCTTTGGAAGAGAAATGAGGTGCTGGCACAGCTGCCCAGCGGTGGTGGGGTCACCATCCCTAGAGGTGTTCGAGAACCATGGAGATGTGGCACTGAGGGATGTGGGCAGTGGGATGGTGGGGTGGGCTGGGGTTGGGCTTGGGGATCTTGGAGGTCTTCTCCAACCTGAATGGTTCTGTGATTCCATGAGGAGTTCCTGTGGCTGACCCTCTGACTGTGTCTTTTGGTCCTGTAATCTCATTAACTTTTCTGTCTACGGGTGGTGGTTTATCCAACCCAGGAGGGCAAAGGGATGAATCTGACACTCTGGAGGAACTCTTTCTTTACCATGGGATTGTTCAGTCTGCACCTTGTCTGCTTGTGGCACCCCATCACTCTTCATCAGGGCTCCCACCCCAGGAGTGCCCTCTCCAGACCACCCCATTGCTCCCAGTGACCAACCAGCCCATCCCCACACCCTGCTGGGGAGCAGCTTTGAGCCCTGGGCTTTCAACTCAGCCCCAAATCTGGCCGTCACTGAAACCTTTGGCACGTTCAGGAGAGGAAGCATTCTTTTGGGTGTCCCTATTGGTACCGTGCTGTGGACACGTGTCCCCCGTGAGGTCAGGGAACCCGGCCCGGAGAGAATGAGCTTTATTCCAGAGGGAAGGGAGAGAAAACTCCGATTTCAGGTGGGAACCGAAGGCAGACAGCAGGGTTAACGCAGCCCCTCGGGGACGCGTCCCGCGGGACGCACCTGAGAGGGGCCAAACCGAAGGGGGGACTTAAGGGACACCACGGTGCCGCCCACCTGAGCTCACCCCACGGACCCCACCCCGCCCGACCGCAGCTCTCCGCCGCCTCCCCCCTCCCGGGAGGGAGAACCAGGCGCGGGCGGCGGGGCGGGTCGGGCCGTCCCCCGCGGGGCCGGGCCGGACGGGGGCGGGCCGGGGGCGGCGGGCCGGGCCGAGCCGGGCCGGGAAGGGGGGGGGGGGGCGGCGGGGGGGGGGGGGGCGCGGCCCCACGTGACTGCGGGGCCGGGAGAAAACCGGGGCCGGCGGCGGCGGCCGCCGCACTGCGCCCGGGCGGCGATCGCGGGAGGTGCTCGGCAGCCGCTGCCCCGGAGGCTTTCGGCGCGCTGGGTCCGCGCTGGCTCTCCAGAATCATGGACTGTGCTGATATGCCTTGCTTGCTGTCAGTGAGTACAGCCCTCTTCTTCCTCGCCTTGGCTTTTTTATCATTGTTATTTTTTTTTTATGCCGATTTTTATTTTTTGCTTTTTTTAAAGAAAAAAAATTCTTTCCTTTTTTTTTTTTTTTTTTTTTTTTTT